TATGACAATCAATGATGTCTAATAATTCATCCCCATAATTGTTTGTATTAGAACTGCCCCACGATTGATGATGGCAATTGAAATCACCTAGTACTAGAAAAGGTTTGGGCAAATTATTTAGAATTAAACGAAGTTCATTTAAAGCAGGAATAGATGGATGGGAAATATATATAGACACAATGCATTTGTTAAAAACCCTAACAGCAATTATTGAAATATCTTTATGGTGAGAGGGCAGAGGAATAGGTGTGAAAGAAAGTGATTCTTTAATGAGTATGGCTACGCCTCCATAGCCATCTGGTCTATCTTCTCGTAAGGTAGTATATCCACTGACTTTAAAATTTAGATGACATTTAAGCCATGTCTCTGATAATACAAAAACAAAAGGATTATATGTATTCACAAGAAAAATTAACTCGCTTTTTTTACTTATTAAGCTTTGACAATTCCATTGCATAATATTAGCTTGATTGTCCATTTTGTAAGCCTTCGATCAAAGTTGAAATTAAAGAAACTGCGTTGGACGGTAAATGAAGGGCTGAAGAAGAATTTGTGTTAAAATGAGTAAGTAATGATATTAATAATTTAATTAAATCTGTGATGGATATCTGAGTTTTATTTTCATCTTGAAGTTTATTATTGAATACACACCCATCTGCAGGAATAGGACTATCGAATTCCTTTATAAGAGCCTTGTGAGCTTCAATATCATAACCCGGTGTTAGTCTAGGTGGAGTGCGAGGTTTAAGAAATACTGTCTTTTTATATGAAGAAGTAGGAGAATTACTTTTATGGTCTACATTTGATGTTGAATTTTTATATAAAGGAGTTTTAAAAGAATTAGTGGAGACAACATTGGAATATGATTTTGAAACTTTAGGAAAAGATTTTGATGCTTCTACATAGGATGTGCAATTATTTGCCATATAGACCTTAATTTCTTTTTGTCGAATATACTCTGGACAAGATTTGTTTGTAGCAAAATGGGATCCTTCACATAAGCAGCAAAAAACATTACTGTCTTCCTCTGTTTCACAAGAATCACCCGAATGATTTCCCCCACACTTAAAGCATCGGGGTTTAGACCTACACTGGTTTTTAGTATGGCCAAAGCGACAACAATAGTAACATTGTATTGTTGGATAAATGTACAGATCTACTGGCAAAGCATTGAAACACATGAAGACACGTTTGGGTAAAATTTGCCCATCGAAAGTAATTACAACTGATTGTGTGGGCTTCCATATAACCGAACCTCCTTGGGAAACTTTATAATTGATACGTCTTACTTTAATTATCTTGCCACATCCCATTGGGACAGTAATATTTTCGAGAACTTCTTCGGGTGTCCATTCTGAAGGGACACCTCGTACAAGACCCATTCTAGTGACATTGAAAGTAGGTATAAAAGCTTTCATTTTATTAATTTCTAGTTTTTTGTTAGTGATGAAAGAATTTGCAGACATATAATCAGAAAAAGCTAGTGAGACTTTATTGCGGCCAATAAGTTTTACACTACCGTTGACAATATTTTCAAATTGGTTATTTTTTAAAAACCTTCCAAAAGTAACAGGATGAATTGAAGTATTATCATGAAGGTCAGTTTGTATTTTTTGCACATGAACAGTAAATGGGGAAATATCATTTTTATTGTAAAGAACGCGGCCAATTGGTGTTGGTGTGACTGTGGGCTCTGTAGTAGCAGATGATGGAATAGAGACATTAAAATCTTTGTCAACTGATTGTGTCTTTTTTTTAGTTACATTTGAAGTAGACTCTTTTCTTGGTGAAAGATCAAAACAATTGCAATCATTTTTTGAGTCAGAACTATGATTACGGCGACGTTTTTTATTGCAGTGCTTACATACATGCACGCGACTCCGTTTGAGTGATCGTCCTGATAATGAACCGTCGGTTTCCATTCCAGATTCATTAGAAACGGTAACAAATAGTCCAGCCGGGGGAACATAGTCCCCCGGCGGTTCTATGTCCGGAGGCTCGTTCATAAAATAAAACGTAAAAACTTACCAATAAACTGCTATAATACACTACAAACTAATACTAAATAAATTTAAAAGTAACTAAGATGAAAATATACAAATCTGATCACCAATACTTAATAAAATTAAATTAAATTCTTTTCAAACTCGAAAAACGCGCCCACCAAGTTCGACGTTTCCCGCCTTTTTTTTCCTTTTTCGACTTATCTATCTGTGCGTCTGCTAGGATTGGACAAAAATTATCGATATATCAAAATATCGATATCTTTTCTAAAAATATCGATATAAATAAGCGATATTTTTTTTTCCCGTGATATATCGGCTTTCTATAAATTTATTTTCAGATATCAAAGTCGTATCAAAATCGATATATTTTTTAATTTCTGCTGTCTGCTCCTGCGTCACATTATGTATTTCTTAAATTTAGAAAAGGAGTAGGTAGGCAGTAGGCTGTATGAGTTTAGTCTATGACCTTTAAGGTTGTCAGCTCGCAGTAACGAAAGCTACGAAAAGTCATAAGGCTACCCCAGCGCCACACCGCAACGATTCCGTTTTCCGCGAAAAGTGCGTATTTCCAAATTTCACTTTCAATTTCTCCAAAATTCTCATAAACTACCATAAAAATGGTAGAAATTAGTATAAAAGTGGAAAGATTCTACCGAGCCCCATGACCGCCGCCATCTTGGAGAAAATCTCACTGAAAAATGGTGATTGATTGAAATTGAGTGACGCGCAAACGAAAACTCCTCCAATTCCCAACGTAAAAATCGACTATATTTCCGAGTAGCCAGCACAAAGACGATCGCCCGAACAGGGGTCAAAAAATTTTTGACCTCTGTTTTTTTTTTTTTATTCAAACCTTTTTCAGTCTCATTTTTTTTTTGCCAAATCTACAACCGTTTCGAATGTCGTAACCGTAGAGTGAATACTTAAAAATAAAAAAAAAACTAACTCGTCGCTATTTTGTTTTCTGGCTGCACAGCAATACCACTTTAACTGGATTAAAAACAATATTGTCACTCTCCATAGATGAAAACATAATTTTCCCACTCTTTCTACCCGAAAAAAGCAAGGAGTGGGTGAGTGAGCCAGTGACTGGAAATAATTCTCTATATAAAGTCGACCCTTCAGGGGGAAAGGCGAAGTCGCAGGCAAAAGTTAGTGTACTATATACAACACTCACCAATCCACATAGCACGAGTAGCATGACAAACTCGAGAAACGCTTTGTCTACACTCATTTGACAGTTTTTCGGGTCCAGAGTAATATATAGTATGGGCGCACCCGAGAAAGGTGACATTTGAGTGTAGACAAAACGTTCTCGATTTTGTCATGCTACGCGTGCTGGACTCAAGTACCAGATGGCAACAAAAGAAAGAAAATATCTCTTTTTCTTCTTTTATTAATAGCTTATATGCGCATTTCGCACATTTCTGTCAATGTCAAGTGAATAAATAAGGTTTTACATGTAAAAAGGAAATGAAAATGAGGCAGTTATTGAAATGTATTTACTATATTAAAGTATAATAAGTATCAAGATGTTTTTATCCTTATTCCAGAATGTTGCCTTCTATAAATTAAAATTTCCTGAAATGCCGTCAGATTCTGGTATACCAATAGTTGGGTTATCTACGGCCCTTTTACCCTACTTGATTCCGTCAATAGGGATTAGCAGTCTAAAAATTTAAGGCTTATGACGATGATGAAGATGATTATACTTACGAAAAAAATAATAATTAAAAAACACAAAGAGAGTGTACAGGGTAAGGGGCCCTAGATTTACAAAACACAAAGATAGTGTACAGGGTAATTGACGCTAGAAATTGAGTAATGTAATAGGGCTTTAACCAGCGCTGAGTCAAATTGTATCGCGCTATTGTTTTGTTTGAAGCCGCTGGTTCAGTAATTGTGTTCTGTGCGCATGAGTGCAATGCAGGAGCGATCGGCGTGGAGGTCAATGAAGGGGATTCATGTTCAGCAGCGGGCGTCGTACGGCTGTTGAGAGCTCAGTCTGTTCTCGTTCTCGTGGATTCTTCGTGGTGTACACGTACAAACATTTGGGTAAACGTCAGATAGGTAGGTATAATACTGTCCTGAGATACTGTCACTGGATATTGAGTTAGTGGTTAATATCATAAAATGACATACTCTGAATACCAAATAACGGTAATTTTGACCCACAAACAGAGGTATGGAAATTCCAGACAGTAATAAAATATCCCTGTGGTTATGGATATGGGATAAATATTTTTTTAATCCTCATGAGACTGTTTATAAGTTAAATAAGTGATATGTGGATTGATTATTTAAAAATGGATTATCTAGCTAAATCAGCAGGCTTACTCTTGAACGCAATCTCAATGTCAATTACAATCCAATCCAATAACGATCTCAAATTTCATAGGATCTTAACTGGTACTCTTGAAACGCAACTCTTGAGTATTGGAATTGAATTAGGATTGCGGTCAGTATTGAGACTATACACATGAAGTTAGCAGCATTAATGGCTGTAATAGAGACGTTCCTTGTAATTTGACTATGTCGATAATGCTAACTGAACAGAAAACTATAAACTTACTCAAACTTTTTTATTATCAAGGTACACTAAAACATAATAATCAATAATGGGTTGTAACTTTTCATTTTATTTTTGCCTTTTAAACATTAAATCTGTAGAAATTTACTTATTTTTGGCTGTTGATGCGATCCCTTTGCCAATGTCTAAAAAAAAAATAATTTGTAAACATATTTGCCGCTAAAAAAGTTCTATCTCGTGAAACGTTACGTATGAAACTTCCAAACTAAATTACGATATATATTTTATGTGTATTGTTCATTCATAATTCAAGTGATTAATTTACTGTGTATCGTTTTACACAATTGCTTTTTGGAATTGGTAAGTAGATATAAATATTATTTTAGAATTGTTTAAAGTTTGTATCTGAGATGGATCGCTTTGCCTATTACTTGTATCGCATTTTTATATTTTCAGAATTAAAAATGCCTTCCCGTCCTTCGCATCTACAAGTGGAAGGACTTGTAGAATTTTTGGAGCAAAATCCAAATATTGCCAAGGGCTTATTAAAGACGGCTCAAGGTAAAACCGAAACAAAAAGAAAGTGGGCTCAAATTGCAGTCACTTTGAATGCGCTCGGCGGAGTTAATAAAGATGGCCCCGGCTGGGCAAAAGTAATTTTATTTATTTATTTTATTTCTTTCATTAAGATTAAATAAATAAAATTATCTTATCTGAATATATTTTTGCAGTATTGGGCTGAAAAGAAATGCTTGTTAAAGAAAATGTGCAGCAAGCTTTCAGCTTCATTAAGGCAAACGGGGGGAGGTACCACTGATCTTCCACAATTATCCGATATGGATAAGCGTTTTGTGGCAGTAATGGGTGGACGAAGTTTTGCTTGTGGAGATAGCCAGCTAGCTATTAACCCTTTCCCACAAATGGTATAAATTATTCTGATAGTATAATAATAAATATTTACTTTTTATGACTGCCTTATGGGAAATAATTAATACTAAGTTTATTTTTTTTTTTTTTTTTTTTTTTTTAAATGCCTGGCCCACATTTCGGGCCGGGCCCTACGCTTGTCCCCACTTTTTAGCAGGCCTTTTTTACTCTACTTTTCTCTTTCGTTCCAGTTCTATCACATATTCTTCCTTCCATTCCGCATACTTATTCTTTCTTTTATTCATTCTCATTCGTTCCTTCGGCTGGGAGTGCCGTTCCTATGCTTTCCTATTCTATTTTTTTTTTATTTATTTCTTATTTCTATTTCTTTGTTTTAGGATTTACACATACGCAGGTTTTTATTTATTTCTTTTCTTGTTCTTATTCTATATTACAATTTCTTATGTCTAGTCCGGGTTACATTTCTTATATTTCTTTACATTTTACTTCTTTATTCTTTTATTCTACTAATTCTATTACATTTCTATTATATACTTCTAACATTTTTATACATTTTTATTTCTTACTCTATATTTGTTTACTACTTGCTATTACATTTTGCTCTTAATTCTATTTTGTCCTATTCTATTACTTTTTTATATATGTTCTCCAATTACAATACTTACTTATTCTATTACACTGTTTCTTAATTTCTAGATATTTTCGTCCTCTTTATTGTATTACTCAATTTCATGTTTTATTTCCCCTTATTCCTTACATATCTTGTTTTATTTGTTCTACGTCCTTGTTTTACTATTTATTAATTTTTTATTCATGTTTCAGGTCACTGTTTGCATATTCTTTAATATACTTAGTGTTCCTATTTCCTTTTCACTTATATTTTTATTCATATTTAGTTTGTGTCTGATCTGGGTTTATTTTTGTCGTGTTGTTTATTCTGTTTTTTGTTTTAATCTATATATACATTTATATATTCTTGTTTGTTTTGTATAACTAAGTTTATATTACAGCATTTGACATCAGAAACTGCAACAACTGCAGTAATGGAGACACCACGAGACGTTGGAAATGAAGTGCAAGTAGAAGTTCCCGAAGAAATAGTTATTGAAGTTCTGCCTTCTCCTTCCCCAACCGCATCACAAGTTGTGCCTCCCCCTTTGTCACCAGAACCACTACCCACTTATCCAAGTAAGTTTATTCGTAAATATATAATATTAAAATATAATACATAAATGTACATGCTCAAAAATTTCTCAAAAATGTAGTTAATAATTTAGTTGTTTAATATAGTATCTTAAAATAATAAAAAAAAAACAAAATTTCTTATAAGTGACTTTTTGAAAAGGACTTTGAGAATACCAACCCATCTCTTTTTTCAAATTATATTTATTTGCTAGAATATAGATACAATAAACGATAGTATTAAAAAAATAATTGTGTATAATAATTAAAATAAATATCAATTCTTAAAAATGCCTAAAAATCCACTCTGAGATGGGATGGTATAGTATTGTAAATGCAAAATTCAAATGAAATCAAATTTACTAATTAAATATTTTTTTTTAGATCCAGCTACAAATACAGCTCGGCCACGACCGCGCCGTCGCATCATTCGAAATGCCGATTTAGAAATAGATCGCATGGCGCGGATCGAGGAACGACGTGTAGAAGCTGAGAGAATGACTGCTGAAGCACTAGCAGCCACTAGCAGTAGAATTGATAGGCTCGCTGATGCAATATTGGAAGTGGCAGCAGCCTTAAATAACATTGCAAATAATTTGGCTTTGTGATTTAATTTAAAAGTAGTTTTATATTATATTTGTTAGGTTTATGTTGATTAAATATGTATTCCAAAGATCAATTAAAGAGTTTGTTATTTAATGATACCATTTTTATATAACTTAATTGGATGAGGTAGTACAAATTTTTTTAGAGTAGAAATTGTAGTTCCAATGCCAGCTACCTCAGCGATAATTAAACCATACACATTTTTGTATTATACACAAGTTGAAGTTTGTTTAGGAAAATCATTGAGAACATTATACCTGTCTTATAAATAGATATAATTCTATTGCTATTGTAAAATTAAGGTAGGCTAGTGTTTATAAGACTGAATTAATAAAAATGCCATACATGTTCATTTATATATTTGCTCTCAAAAAGGAAATTAAAAGTTTAATGAAATTTTATCTGCGAGCTGCCCATAATTGCTGAACTAATAAAAATCGCTTTTCAACACCTCGTCTTAGTTCTAACGATGATTCATTCAGATGAGGCTCATGAATTTGAGGATCTGCTACATTTTCATCCGCTATCCCAATATTATTATGAGTGTGATTACACATGTTGTGCAGTACACAACATCCATTTATGATTTTGGCTGCCTTATTTGGATGGTAATGAAGGACCCTATGTCCTAATAAGCAGCGCCACCTATTTTTTAAAACGCCAATACAACGCTCCACAGTATTGCGTGCAGAGCAATGTTTTTTTGTATAATACTCTTCGGGAGAACCCACTTCAGCACCCACAATTGGAGTCATCATAAATTCCCGTTGAGCGTATCCTGAATCTCCTAAAAATAATTTAACTCATAATTTCCCATACAATTTATATTATTTCTCTTAATTTGTTGTACTTTCAAATACTATAGACTTACCTAATAAGTATACATTTTCCCCAGCATTGTTCAATGCAAGTAGATGATTTCTTATTGGATGCTGGTTCCACACAAAACTATCATGTGTTGCACCACCAAATGAAGCATCCACTGACAGAATATTTAAATATGCATCACAAATCTAAAACAAATATTATAAAGGTAAAAAACTTATGCAAGATAAAATCAAAATAATTATGTATTAATATTGCCTATAATATTATTAGTTCTAACTTACAATCATGACATTTCTTGAATGATAATGTTTGCGATTAAAAAATCTCTCTTCATTTTCATTAGGTCGTACAATGGCAACATGTGTTCCATCAATGCAGCCCAACACTGCCGGTATACCAAAGTGTTCATAAAATCTAAAATGAATAGTAATTATTATAAATAGCACTGTCACTTTAATTTTTTACCCTGTTAGGATTACTTACTGTCTTTTAATAATGTCCCTTTCTAGACGTGTCTGTGGGAATCTGATCCATTTTTGGACAATATTTTTATGATTTAAAGCTGTTGTTACATCTGTAATAGCCCGGGACACGGACTGCTGAGACATTAAGGTACCATAGCTGCCCCCAACTAGCCTTTGATAACTTCCAGTAGCAAAGAAGGATATTGCTACTAATAACTGAAAAATAATATTGTATAGTTACAAAATATACAAAACAAAATTACTTTAATATTATATAGATTAATTGTTTTATGAATAGATGATTTGTTTACCTTACTTCCTACAATACAATACTCACTTTAAATTTTGGTGATATATCACTTTTTCTCTTTGGAAGTGGCAAATAGGGCCGCAATTCGTCGTAAATAAAATTAAAAAAATCTTTTGTGACCCGGTAATTGGAAACAAACTCGTCGTCACCCATGGAAAATGATTTATCCATATATCGAGACAAGCGACGCTCATTATTTCGGAGTTTTATCTCTTTTCTTCTGGCATTCCGTAGAATAGAAAAAGGAAGTGCTAAACGGGCCATTATTGCGTACTATTTACTTTACCGTAGGCTATTTAACTACACAAATATCAAACACGAAGTCTACAAAGTACCTTTTTCGTTATTGCGTTTATCTAAATCTCAGTGCAATTTTATCTCAATATAATCACAATCGCAACTGTCAAAATAACGTCAAGAGTAGGAAATGAAACATAAACTCAATGCTTACTCAATGTCAACTAGTTCATTAAATAACCACGCAATATGGAGCCAATTGGCGCTAGTGTACCAAATCAAGAGTACGAAACGTCACAATTGCAATGTCAATCGATCGCGATTGCATTCGAGAGTAACCCTGCAGGTGTCATCACTGTAATTTAATATCCATTGTACTTACTACTCGTATGAATCAACCTGAGACACTATTCTATTTGTCGTCGAACAAAAATTCCGAAAGTTCCTATTCGGTTTAATAATTTTGATAAAATCATATCCGTGAAGATTATCTGTGCATCCGAGCCAGTGTCAGGTCCTACCTCAGTTCCATTATAAATTATTGGAGCGCGTTTCCTTGGAGTTGTATTAGCATTTCGATTTCGGAGAAATAAAATGGGCCGTCAGTTGTTATGATAATTCGTACGAGCAGTAGGTAAGGTAAACGCACCAGTCATGGACAGTATAAGAATAAATTTGACATTATGAGGCTATATTTTGAATACTGTAACTGTTTATAAATGCAGTCAGGGTCAATTATACTACAAAACTAATGGAGAATCATTATCTTTATTATAATTATTAATTACTTACTGTATTAAAAATATTTTTGTGAAAAACTGAAGCCCTATAAGAACACTAGTGATGGACAGGCATCACCCAGTGCATTACACCCAGTCATGGACGTCCCCGCACATGGACATCGAAATGAATTAGACAGAACCATGGTGCTTATTTCGTATTGTCCTTCGTGTATATTATCAATTACACCAGGAAAATACGACCCTTCGTATCTCACTATAACATACTGTTTTACTTTGTAACCTTTATTTGAGAAATGCAAATCATTCAACGGAACGTCTTCGTCTGAATCATACTCTGATAATTTTGCGGTATTTTTCAGTCTGCTTTTATTGAAACTTGTACTAGGCTGGTCAAGCCGTCGATACTCTTTTATTTCATGGTAATCATCAAGGAACTCTTCATCACATTTACTTTCCTGGTATTCTATATCTGTTCCCGGTTCATCAGAAGAAGAACTCGATGTAGCTTGTCTCTGCTTTACAATTTTCTTTGTAGATTTCTTACGGTTTTCTGTTTTCTCTTTATTAATTATCTTCTTTTGAATAGCTTGTTGTTTAAACACCTTTTTTTCTTCCCTAGCCCTTATTCGCTTCTCCTTTTCTTCTTGCTTTTGTCTTTTCTCATTTTCTTTTTTTGTCAAGTAGGCCATCCATGCATTGCTTGTAACAGCTGACGGTAAGCGTTCTTTTATGCGTCGTTTTTTTATTTCAGGTTCTGGCCAATACAAGGCACGTTTGAATGGAGATGGAATAATGAAGTTCTTTTGAAAGGTTGATGTTAATGGGTTAATAGGTGCTTGAACATTTTAGCTGGTGTGATATAGTCTGCTGAGATGGGATTATTTACGATATGAGGTAGTTTTACTCGGTGTCATGTGATCTGGCTGGGTTATAGCGTCGGATGATCTATTAGTGCTCAAGTTTTGTTGGCTTGGTTGAAAAACATTTTGTTGTGGAAGTTCGTGCGGTATTTCAAGTTCTAGTGGTAATTTTTCTCGAGGGTCGAGGTCCTCAACAATAACCTGTTTTGTTTCATTAGTGCCTTCTGATCGTGGACTTGTAATTGACTGTTCTATTTGCGAATTGAAATTTCAGGGTGCCGCTTTAAAAAAGAATCAAACCATTTCCTTCCTGGTCTGTTATTTACAAACGGACACTTTTGAAGGTTTTTGTTAGATATAATCTTTTGAACGCTGTCCAAGAGATGGTTCCTTGTAACTGGGAAGTGATGATCGGCCATATAAAATATCCATTTCTTTAGTAAATCTTCTTCTTCACTTGTGAGAATAGTAGCTGCTCCTAGTCTACAAACCTCGGGAGTTTTCCCGGCTATTTTATTGCGAAGTGTTATTCTAGGGATATCATATAATTTCGCAGCCGCTGATACTGATGATCCTTGCTTGACTTTCTGGATGGCGCTGGCCATTTGTTGTGGAGAGTAATTTCTAATCGGCGCCATTCTGCGTCTATAGAAAAGGTAGGTAAGTGTTATGATGACAGAGGTTTATGCAGAAGACCACTTGCCATTTCGGGGACTATATAAGGACATTATATAAGTATTACATTAATAATATAGAAATATATATCACGGTGTATAAGTTATCATGGAGGTTCTTTCAATGCTATTAAAACATTAGGTCTGTCAAATTGTCAAGCACAATTACGAAAGAGCACCTTGATAATCATATTGTTATTCTAATGGCGTTGTAAATATATAATAAAACATTTCTACAATAAAGCGTACGAATAAAACAAATTATTCATATAGTTTGATAGTTGCCAGTAATGGATCACCCAATCATGAACATGCCATTTTTTAAATTTAATAATCATCACCGTGTTACGTAAAATAACAATCGTTAGGCTTTTTTATGAACATTATCAAACATTACTTAAATATTTAGCAATAATAAATTAAAAATTTCCCAAATTGTTCATGACTGGTAAGTAACACTTTTATTTATCTAATGATGAACATTGTTGTATTTGTAAATTACTATAACCATTTTGTAATATATCAAGCTATAGGCTATTCTTAAATATACTGTTAAATCACAAAATAATGACTCATTCAACATATTAACTTTACCGGCTTTAACATTAATTAATTTTTAAACTTACTTGCGCCACGATGCTTACTAAAAGATCGGATATTTTTTTGAAATCGTCGGAGCCACGTATTCGTATTCAGTTTATTTTGTTAATATAGCCGACAGCTGTCAAAAAAAAAATTCTGGGCTCCGTATTGGATAAACACATTCATATAGTGACACCATTGAAAAAAAAATAGTCGGATTTTGTAGTTATTGGCGATTTAATGGTAATATGTTCATGATTGGTGCACTGTCCATGACCGGGTCGATTACCTTACGTATACTTGTTTATATAGTTCTTGAAATCAGGCTTTAGTCGAGAGAGTCCAAAAATAGGTTGCCTACTTTCCTTTTGAGCTAAATTTATGGTTACCGGGTATAAACAGTATAACAGTCCGATTTGACTATATAGATAGAATAATGTATTTTCACGCAGTACATATATTATTAAACTTTTTGGAGTCTGCACTTTGATTTTTAAATAACAAGGCACTTTTGACACTGCTATTTTAGTTGTAATGTTGAACTTTTAAGGGAGTTTTAATAATAGGTATACAATAGTATTTTATATAAGGTTCATTTAATTTCAGTCAACCAAAAAAAAAATGATCACATAATATAAATTAGAACAAATTTTCATCTCAATCGAAAGTTTTAAAAATAGATTGCCTGAACATTGATGAAAATACCGTCGTTAGTAGTGATAAGTCAGATTTTAAGCATTTTTCTTAAAAATATTTTCCAGTATAGCATTGTGAATACAAAAATCGATTAAATATAATACTGGAGTAGGTTATAAAAGTAATTAATAAAACAAAACAATTTTATAATCAACAACATTTATTTATGTATGTACATTTTAAATTTATTTTGTACAATGTACAAATAATAAATGCACAACTTCAGCATTGTAGGTAAATCTTAAAGTATCTATAATAAGTCTTGCAGGCACGCATAGTACGGATTATTTTTCAATTTGTTACATCAAGTAGCAAAAGCACACAAACATTTAAAGTTAGGCATTGGTCCCACAATAAATTCATAATACGATCGCTTCGAAGCGTTTTTACAGTCAATGATAAATTCATTATCCTATCGGCCTTAGTTATTAGGCCAAGTAATTATTTTTTCTGAGGTTTGAAAGCCATATTGTAATAATTATTTTATCGAGAGAATTAAATGTAAACAATGGTCCTGAACTCATGAGTTTTAAGTCATGTAGGAGTAATACTTTTAACAAAGGAATAATACGACCACTTGAGTGTAGTATAGTGACAAGTTGTCCCTGAAAAACTTCAAATCAACTGCAGCTAGCATGTTGATAGGTACATGTTATATCAGAATTGTACAACAATTAAAAATCAAATGACGCAATCATTTTATATTACATATAATGTAGAAAAGGGCACAAATGATATTAATACACACGCGATGATATTTCAATGCAACAATTACGTCTAAGAACCTCTAATTCCTGTTTCTTTGGTTGGGGACTTTAGTTGTGTAATCAAAATATGTACAAATTACAAACTATATTAGATATACGCACTAATGATGTTTATTTGCAGACTAGAATCGAGAAACGGATCGGATTATTCAAATAGGTATGTAATATCTAATAAATAAGATCATTTCTTGAGTCTACAATTAGGAACGGATAATAGGCAAATAAATAAAAAAATAATACAAAACTCTCCTGACCAAATTATTTTGGTGTTGATAGGTATTACAAAAGATGTGTAAAATTATATCAACTTGAAATGTCTTCATACTGGAAGTACGCTTACTCGAAAAACAGTCTAATAAAATATGGTGCGTTTAACACTAAATCCATAAGAATGTGCTAACGAATCGGTTAGAAGATATTAACATAATATCATAAGAATGGCACTGTGCTACTATTGCTAACTACTCCTATAAAACACTGTTATCGTATTGTACAGTAAAAAGCTTGCCGTTATTGGATTTTGGAACGTTTAAAATTGGAAGATTTTTAACTTATAAACTACAGTTAACAAAATTAAAATACAAAACTTTCATATTATGTACAGTAGGTTCAATAAGTAACTAATATTACAACTTTCTTAATATCACATAAGTACACATCGCTTTCTACACTGATAACTTATAAAATTAAAATCGTTTCATGTGTGGATATGTAAGTAGGATTAATATTATAATACCGCAACTACGCGAAAAGTACACGAGTACTTTATTATTTATATTTTAGTAATAATTACTCTCATCACATGAAACAGCATTCGTTTTGAAGTACACTGTTGTTCGGTAGAGCTTTCATCTGATCGCATGTGTTGGGTTATAGGGTGGTGGTGGAGTTTTGGGGATCTGTGACCGGTGGACGGGAGCTATGTGGGATACAGGGGCAGGGGGAGCGTCAGGCATGCCTGGGATGATCGACACCTCCGTGACGGGGGGTAGGTCAGCGCGCGCGCTGCTAGTGGCGGGCAGCAATCGCGCGGGGTTTAGCTTGATGGCGTCGTCATATGTTGGCGGTGCGCCCGCCACGGTGTCGTAGTCTGGTGGCTTTTGTTGCATAGTCTCTTCGTCTGGCATCGATATCACGTGTATGGGATCGTCAATCTGTAAAGCCATAGAGAAGTTTTATTTCATCTATAAGGTTATGTACTTATCAAGTTAATGCCGTGATGAGGTCACGGTGGATCAATTAATATTCCATAATTGATTTTCCTATTGTTAGAGGAAAACGTCTACGTAGATTTTTATATCTAATGTAAAACTTTTTTCGGGAACTCAAATCTATATTGGTATAATAAAACGTTTTGAAATTTTTGATTGAGAAAGTATAAGAGTAGACAAGTAGGTACAAGGCTTCATGGATTCGGGAGAAATCTGTGAGGTGGGGTAGGTCGCGTGAATTTGTGGCGTATTTACACTAGCCGATGACATCTGCGAGCGGGTGATTTCTGTAATTTTCATTGGGCATGCAGAGTTCGCCCACACTCTGCATGCTAATCTCATCCGATGATCCGACCAGTGTAAATGAGTCGCTACTTCTCGCTCAGGTTCCCGGGTACCACTCCCAACTGAGAGCATGCCCTGCTTTTAGTTTGATCTGCTCCGTGATCATTCCACTGGGTATGTCCATTAGCGAGTGAAAGTCCAACATATAGGGTAATAGAGCTAAGTTTCGAACTTTGTATATTTAAGTTTTTTAATACGTTAGTTAAAAGTAACGGAAATGACTGTCTTTTGGTGCATTCGTTTCCTGCAAAAATCAACTTTTGCTAGAGTCGCCATCTAGTGGAGGTACTTTTTTAGTGCTTTCGTTGTTTTTAAATACTCATTGGAATAGATAAGGTTATTTTAAATATGTATATCAATTTAAGAGTAACATGTGTATTTCAAAAGAAACTATAATACTCGTATCTATTTTTAAATTTAAAATTAAAAGATGTTATATGTACCTGATGTGTATCTGGCGAAGCGCGGTCACTTTGTGGTTGGCGCGCAGGGGACTGTAGCCAGCAGCACATTGCAGCGCAGATGAGCAGGGCGCCCGCGACGATGCAGGCCACTCCTACGTAGCGTACTGGTTCAGCGTAGTCCTCTGCCAGGCCTAACCAGTTGATCAAGGCACCGGCACATAGTAGCACCATGCCATAGCGGTATGGCCTTTGTGACTGTCGGCCTTCGTCTATCGACATGCCTGTAACAATAAATACTTCATTAATTCTGGAACTACAGACTATTGTCGTATCGAATACTTTCACTAGCATTTTTCAAACATTGTGAATACAACCAACTTGGAAATATATCACGTTGGCATTGATTTGATTGTGTGTGTTATTGATTATGATTTACGAAAGACAAAAATGTTAAATTACAAAAAATTTGACAAAGTAACTTTAATCAATTTTCCTCAGTCGTAAGTCGATACTTAAATGTCACACTGAAATCTTTATAAGCCATATAGATACTAACTACTACAACTTTAATACATTTTCATAACTATAAACACATTATGACGAAAATTGGTACCACGAAAAGTGCTTATATCATTTTAGTACAGTAAACTTAATTTTAAAAAAGGTTTAATTTAACTTTCTAACAATAAGAATGACTGCAAATGTGTAACGGAATTGCAAAAGATTATTGTAGTGAAGACCCTGGACATTCTAAGCAATCTATGCGTAACTCAGTGCATGATCACGCTAAACCTCACTTGAAAGGAAATGGAGTTCCTCGTTCGTATCGAAACGTGGTCGATGTAACCGCTCAGTGGGGCAATGGCTAACGGGATTCAACACGGAAACCGGAGGTAAAACGAAAGTTGGGAAAGTTCACAATTAGATGATACATTATGATAAATTTGTATCGTCATTTGTGCCAGTGAAAAGTTTGACAAACCATCGTTTCGCGTGAGGAAAACGTTGTTTAAGGAAAAGTCCGCAGGTTTAATGGAATGCTTCATGAGAAGTGGCTGAGAGACGCGAATTAAATCCTCGATTGAGGTCAACTTAAAACAATGGTTTCTCAACATGTAGGTCAAGTTCGCGACGCACCACTGCTTACGTTAGCGAACTCATGCGTTGCGATATAAAATCTCAAAAAAAATGGTTTATACGAAAAAAGGCTTTGTAATATGTATATACCTTTGTACTTGGAGAGTTTATCTGATTTACAGAGAAAGGACAGAACCGATTCGAGTGGATAATGAAAAATATAAAATAATCAGAATAAAAGGATGATGAGTTTTGAATACCTATATATTGTTTTGGGTAAAGAAAATGTATAATACTTGCTCGTAATCTAAATTTTCTTTGCCTAAAAATTAGATAATTAATGAAATATTATAAAATTAGGCAGTGTTTAATAAAAACTGGATGGATGTTTAAAAGGTATAAATAGTAGATATACTTTGAACCACAGTTTTGTACAGTAATATTATAAAAACATATTTAGAATTGAAACTGTTGTTAAACAGCAATTAGCGAAGAATTTACAACAAAACAATTTGCATAACTTTATAACAAAACAATAGTTTAATAGTACGTGTATATTAATTTATAATAGCTGCATAATGTTATGTTATGAAACAGTATTAAAACTGTAGTTTTAAAGTAAAAAAACTGTATTTCTAAAAATATTTTGGGACTTACTAAATAATCCTTGAGTGAATAATTGCTGACTGCTGTACACTCCACTCCAAGCCATCATTTTTGTATGAATTTAAAATGATTATTAAAAAAAAATACTCTTTTCAAAACATTATACTCAACCACTAGCAAAATTTAATAAAACGAATATATGAAGTTCGAGAAGAAGAGAATTATCTTATCGAGAGTGTTTTTGTCCGATAGCATTGTATCCATATCATTATTTATTTCTATTTGACATGTGGTTTGCACACCGGTTTCAAGGTGTTGTCTGTGATGTCTCGGGTTCGCTTCCCGGCCGGGTCAATGTAGAATATGAACTTTTCTATATTGTCTCTGATCTGGGTATTGTGATCGGTTCGTTATTTCATATACTTTATAATAAGAGGCCTTTAGCTACTCAACTTGGAATCCAAGTAATGCATGTGATGAAGTCTTTGATGATTATTATTATTTATTGTCATCTCATTTATGCAAAACATGAACTGAATTGATTAGAGTTTTATTTATTTATTAATTTTGTGGCAGAAATTTTCTTTACGAAGACTTAAGAAGTCTTTAAATTCTTCTTATTTATAGTTTAGCTGAGTTATCTAGCAATTTATGTAAATCTGTTTTAATAATTTAATGTTGCTGTTTATGATGGTAGTGTTTTTGGATATTGACCAAATGTTTTCAATATAATAAATTACGATATATTTGTCAGGGTGACATTCCATTTTCCCTGGAAATTGCGAGATATCATTTATTTTGAATAAATTCAATTGAAGAATGAAGTAGTATATAATCATTAACAATAATCTAAAAAGGAAATACTTAATTGTGTGTTTGCATTTAATAGGTGCCGCAACTGCAAGACTGATTTTAAAAATTTGCTCACCTACGGAGAGCTTCATCATATGCTTGTAACATAGGATATAGTTTATACGGGAGAAGACGCGGGAACAGCTTTTTTGTTTTATAACAACGATGACAGATAAATTCTAAATTTCTATTTTGAAAACTTCGTAATTAATAACTTTAAATCGAAAAGAAAGTGTTATTTCTTATTATTTTTCTCTCATTTTTTCCATTTTGTCGTAAATCTACCTCGAGCTATAACCAATATTAATAAAAAAAATGTCAAATTGGTCCAGCCGTGTGAAATGCATAAGATTAGAGAATATTAAGTAGCATATTTAGTGATTAATTTTTAGCTGATTATGATTTTTATAGTAAAAGAGGAAATGTCAAGTAGTCTACGCAGATCACGTCATCTTTAAGTGTATCTCTAAAAATGTATTTAGTTTTATTAACGTTTTTAAAAGGTATTCTTTTTATTAACGTTTCGGACCCTTCACAGGTTCCGTGTTCACATAATAATAATGTGTTGATTGTCTTTTAAAAAAATAATGAGTGCAGACACTTGTAAATAACAAAGCTTGACAACGGTAGGGCTTCGCCGTCGGCTCGGTTCCGTTGAAGCTATAATATTCGTTAAACGGATTAAGCAATACGCACATAGTTCCGCTTCTAGTTCTAATACTAATACTATAGTTCTAATACTATTATTTTTATCATCACTAACATTTTTGCACTAGGTTTTGTGGGTTCTATAATCCTTAGTATCCTCTACAGAGTAGATTGAAATTTACAGACCATTTTATTTTTTTGATTTCGACGCTTGGAATAAATGGTCAGAAGCATCTGCTTTTCTTTCCTTCATCTATATAGTTAAAGGAAAAAATACCATATTAGTGTTGTGACTATTGTAATGAAATTAAACAATCTCTATCTGCGTAATATTTGTTATATAAAAATAATATGAAATCTGAACCCAAACTTAGGCAATTTTGAGAGCCCGAAAAGGAAAAAGTAGAGAAAAGATTGTCTCTGCTGTTTTATAGCGAAATTTAACTTTTGTAAATACTCACAAAAAAGATGTCATAAAATATGATTGAGGCAATATATCTGATATAACAACAGTTTAGAATTAGTTACATCATCATCAGCCTTTTGATGTTCCCACTTCAGGAGCTCAAGCTTTAACTCTTCACGTAGGCCCAGTGCGGAACCCAACGCAACCGAGTCCAGCTGTTAACGTGCCGAAGCATGGAGTAGCGCGAGATAAAAAATTTTTGGACACCCATCTCGCGACCGACCCTCGCGAAAGATGCTTAGATACATCTATCTCTTCAATCCTCCTACCTACAACTAGTTTGACTCTATTGAACTTCCTATGTTCAAAGGTTAGTATTAGTACTTAGTTTAAATGCTTTCAAGAGAGTACTCAAGTCGGTGTTTCGTTTTTATTTTTGGTTACTTTTGTCAATAAAATATTATTTGTAAAACATAATTAATTTAGAGGGGGTAGAAAACATAGATTTAATTTTTTATTCCATAAGTTCTGCGGTAGTTTTATATTGGAGTATAAGATTACAGTTGTTTTATAAATGTTATGTAAATAGAAATACGTAATCGTACTCCAAGGATAAGTTCATAGTAATGAATCAGAGATGATGTAAAGGACTAGCGATAAATTTGAATGTTTACGATGTTTTTATCGCGTACATACATATTAGCAATATTAAAAGTTTAATTTAATTATCTGACCACTTCTTTTATGCGATTATTTTATGGCATAAGCATAAACTATCGCAGGTTTTGACAAATTATTCATTTATAATAATTATTATTCATTTATACCCTATTCATCATTATCATCAGCTCTTTTACGATCCCACTGCAGGGGCTCAGGCCTCCCTTATGGATAGTTAATGAAGATAGACCATGACTTGCCTTTCGAAGCATGGAGTAGCTCGAGCTAATAATATTTCGGTCACCCATCACGTGAGCGACCCTCGCGAAAGTTGCTTTATAACAACGATCGGTGCGGCGTTTATCCGCGCACTAGTTATATCTATTGTAATACAACAGTCACTACTTATTTCAAAAAGTTCATTTTAAAAGACCGGATTGAATCGGATCCTAAACGGGCTATACCCTAATAATTAAAATAACTAATCATAGGCACAACAAACGTTGAATTTTTATTTATTTTAATACTAATTATACCTAATCGACCATAGTTATCTTTACCTTGTGTGTTCTTGATATTTAAATTATCTCTTGGGCAAAACACAAATAGGAAACTAGTTCAATGGCTAATTTGGAGGATTATTGATAATAAGTGAATCCTTGTTACATTAATAACGTTTCTATTACCGACATCCATTGTGGTTTGAGACTGTGGTCCTAACGGATATTTTTACCGAATAAAATCGGATATTAGTCTAGTGTCATGTAAATCATCAAACCTTTGGAGAGTAGATATTACAAACACACCCACCAATATCCACGATTTTGTATCGGGTGTTTTTATTTACTTAAAATATAGAGTAATAAGTTATGCTTGCCTGTGTTTTATGGATAAGTGACGATATTTAAGAATTTAAATGTAGGTATTCTTTGATTTTAAAGGCTTGGTTTGGCTTTTGGAGCAGACTTACATTTTTGGACTGTTTGGATTCATATACGAAAAAAAATAAACACAGGGAGAAAAAAATGTAAT